GTTGGCACAGATGAAGGTTTTTGGGGGGTAGTTGAGGAGGGGTGAGAGGAAAGGTTGTTACTGCCTCGGTGTGAGGCCTGTGGGGAGGGCAGGAGGTAGACAGCAATAAGGGATTGTTGTGGAACAGCTCAAACCTTGTTTGTCCTAAAGACTTGTACCTCTCAGAGGCCGTATGAGCCCTGTTTTGGACCGAAACGCAGCCGGTCGTGGTGGGAGGTGAACAGGGTCAGATTTGGAAGTGTTTGGAAGGGCCTGAGGAGGGAGAGCTGTGCTGGTTTTCAGCCTGTGGTGTTCTGGAGGGCTCCTGGTGCCGGAGAGGTCTTGCTGCTGGAAGTGCTTCTGTTGCATAGAGGCCTGCCCCGCTCTGGGGAATAACAGGCCCTGTCCCCCTGTGTTCTGTTAGCCCAGGGCTTCTGGTGGTGCAGGTGTGTGATTGTATGTAACTAACTAAAAGTAGAGTCTTGGAGCAGCCCATCTCTTCAAAGTAAAGCTGCATGTTGGTATCCCTTTGCTTTTTTCTGACAGGTCTTACAAACACTTGTGTACGTGCTCAGTTTAAAACGTGTCTGATCCAGTTGAAGTCAGAAGACTCATTAGCCTGAATAAAGTGGGATGACATGCATAAACCTGACAAGTTGTGGTCATAGGTTATTATGTTATTAAGCTCCTGAGGGCTGTCTAATTTGTCCCTAATAAAGGGCTGAATTTTATAGGTAGAACTGTAATACAATATTAAAAGTGGGAGGGAGTCAGTTGTGCTGCAATTCACAGATATTTAAAAGTAGTTTTACAAGCTGGTCTGTATATTACACTTACCCATAAGCATAATCTACTGCATTTACTGTTGTGTAGTTGTGACTCTTTTGGCCTGTGTAGGAAAGAGGCAGTAACCTACAAATTCAGATTATTAAACATTGTTGCTTAGTGTTGATATGTTAAGGCCTGAATAAAAGCTGATAGTTGACCTTGAGATGAACCCTGTAAGATTATTGTCAGATTTTTCTCTATTTAGCAGCAATCAGCAGATTTTTCTCTATCGAGAGGCCTAATTCTGTTGCAAGATTTGTGGCTGTAGCTGAAATAGCTGGTGAAACCAGACAGATACCAGTTGAGAAATGCATGGTTGAAACCACGAGGACAAAAATACTCCCCTGGATCCTTCTCTTGAGCCCTGGCCAGGCTCTGGAAGGAACCCAGCTTGGAGGGCAACGACCGATGTTTCCACACAAAGAAAAATGCAAATTATCTTAACATGCTGAATTTGGTAGTTGAGTATTAGAAAAGCTGGACCTTCTTGCAGCGACTTTGGGGACCTCACCTATGAGTGGATGTGCTGAATTTGGTAGTTGAGTATTAGAAAAGATGGACCTTCTTGCAGCAACTTTGGGGACCTCACCTATGAGTAGATGTACTGCGTAGGACCTCCCAATTGCTGGGACAGGTTCTCCAAATCCTGTGAAGGAAGTACTGCTTTTCCATATGTCATATATTATTCTCTGTGCTGTCACATAAATAGCAACATACTTGGCCACAGCTACCTTACTTTATTAGCAGAGCAGGCAGATATGGAATCCTTAAAAATACTGCTTTGCCACCGGTAGCTTTTACTGAAGTGAAAATACAGGTTATGTCCATGGAATTTCAGTTTGTATAATGCTTTGCCTGTATTTTATTAAATTTCACAGAGTTCTTTTCTGTAACAAACTCTTTTACTGAAGTGAAAATACAGGTTATGTCCATGGAATTTCAGTTTGTATAATGCTTTGCCTGTATTCACAGAGTTCTTTTCTTTAACAAACTCTCTTTTCAGTGCCAATGCGTTGCCAACCAACTGGACACCTGGCTTCCCAAAAGCTCAAATGCGTGTTTTCTGACCTTGGCAAATCAAGATCAAAATGAAATTATGATAAAAATCCATGTGGATTTCTAACTTGGAGTCTGAAATTCAAGACAAAGGTGAGAAATCCTGAAGAAACTGGAGTGCCCTGTAGGTACACAAATTGGGAAAAGGAGTTTATTTCCTTTGAAATTACTGAGATTGTTCTGAATTACACTGAGGTGTATGACCTGCTGATTCCCTTGATACTAATGTGGTTACCTTTCTGCTTAGTAATGTCAGTGCTCTGTAAATTACCTCTAGTTTCTGTATATTTCCACAGACTGTCAAGGATCTCACATATTAGAGAAAATGTAAGAATTAACATATTGTTTTGTCTAACCTGTTTAGCATCAGTTTTCATAGTTGCACTTCTCAAAAAAAAAAAAAACCACCAAAATAGTGTAATCCTTTGAATCCAGTATTAATCTGTGTTAATCTAGTCTCAGAGGCAGTTACATTATGCTGTTATAGATGTTTGACTGCTCAATGTACTTGGTGTGGATACATTGCTAGGTCTGACAAGACGTGGAATGGGAGCAACAACTTGTTACTCGTGAAGATGGGATATGCAGAGTCAGCACTTTGTGGGTTAACGTGATGACTTTGGACTTTGTGGCTTTCTAGTGGAGCTTCCAAACATTCAGTAATTAATTACTTCATTCAACACAGGGTACTGGTTTAAATATTCTAAATAAGCACTTAAGAACCGCTGATAGCAAGATGATTTCTCTCTGGACTTTACAGATGACATGTTACCAGTGGGCTTTTAACCTGCGAGAAAAGGAATATTGCCAAATGCCCTACGCACTAGTGTGAAATCAGTATGTCAGTTATTGTTTTGTCCTGTTGAGATTGAATGCTCAGAGATGGCTATTAGTTGTAGAAACAATAGTAATAATCTTGTGATCTTTTACACCTAGTTAGAAATTATTACATAAGCAGCTAAAAAGCATAAAACTTTGATTCTTCATTTCCTTTCTCTTGTTCTATGTAATCTAAGATCTTCATGCGAAGCCACATTTCCTGCCCAGCAATGACCAGAGTAGTGTCCCATGGGGTTGTGCTCGGTCTGCAGCTCAAAACCCAAAACCTGCCCTGCAGCTCCCTGGGGCCGGGTGGGGGGCGTTTATGAGTCCAGGCGTTACTACTGGACGGTGAGGTTATCTGTCACTTCTGTGCTGTCTGGAGCTTAACGTCTGCTTGTTGATAACCATGTCATACCAAGCAACTCTAGCGTAGTGTGAAGTATTACGGGATGTAATAGAACGTCATCTTTAAGTGGATCCTGTGGTTTGGTTAGTTTGCTTTGACTTTAATATTTTCAGTAGAGTTTGAACCAAGTTTTGTGTTGGGCAGATGTAGCTGCCTGCCTAGCCCTGCTGATCCTTCTGTTTCTTATTATATTTTTTTATATGCCTCTTAATATATTATATTATTTGCCTGTATGGACCATATAACAAGAGCATAAAACTTCACTGTGCAGTTAGGGGGTCTGTTCTGTACTTGGTAATTCCCAAGTCTTTGCCTTTTCTGAGCCAGCCTGATTTTATAGCCTCAGGGTAGAGTTTCACAGTAGCTTGAACTTTTCTAAACGCAGACTGTGGTTTGGGTGGTCCCTCCTTCGTGTTAATATTAGTGCATTTGCATCACAGCGGGCTGGACCAGAACTGCCTAAAGCCCTTCTCTTCCCCCCCCCCCATTGGTCTTCAGTTCTGGCCCTTGATCTTTGTGACTTTGCAGCTGCTAAGTGCTGGTGCTGACACAGCAGCATGACCAGCCAGAACAGAGGGTAGGGTTTGCTCAATTCGGAGACAGTGGAAACGTTACTCGTGCCAAACAGTCACCTCTGTTTTATCTCTGATTTTGTCTCTTTTCTTGGTAGGGGAGGGGAGACAGACCTGTCAATGTTGTTGGAGCCACTTTTGGAGCCACTTGCCTAATGCCTTTTTTTTTTTTAACAAAAAGTTTTAAACAAAAACTTTTTCTTTGTCTGAAAGTAGAGGCTCTTGTACTTAGCAACACAATGCAATAATTATTTATGAAAGTGTTGTTCCAAACATGTAGTTCACCTGTTCAACTTGAGTCCATCGCAAAGGAGTCGCTAATGCTGACTGTAACAGATTTTTTTGGGAAGTAAGTAAAAGTGTTGGTAAAGGACTCCATAATGAAAACATATCAACACGTAGCCTTATCACAACAAACAGAAATGAGAGCCTGTGCATTCTACAAATATTACAGTTTTTATTCCAACTTTCAGAGTATCTTCTTTTATTTTTAGATGAATCTGCGTTCTGTATTTACTGTAGAACAACAAAGGATATTACAGCGTTATTATGAAAATGGAATGACAAATCAAAGTAAAAATTGCTTTCAGCTCATATTACAGTGTGCACAAGAAACTAAACTGGACTTCAGTGTAGTCAGGGTAAGTACTGAGGCCTTCCAGATTTGTATGTTAAACTTATACACATTAATTTCTTTCTGTAAAATATCTGTAGAGGACTGGAGTCTCTAACTTCATATTTGTCTTAAGTCGGACTTCAGTGTGCTTGTGTGACATGTTCGTTTTTATCCAGTGAGCCTGTTTATAGTTTGTTTTTGCTGAAGTGTCTTCACATGATTTCTGTATTTAGCAGGGGCCTGGATTGCACAGGGAGTGATTTTTGTTTAGTTTCTTTGTTTTAGTTTTTTTAGTTGTTGTTTGTCTTTCATAGATGGTGTTTTGGGTTGATTTTTATTTATTTATTTGTTAAGTTGCAAATTAGATTGCCCTATAGAAACCTAGTGCAGTGTATTGTATCAAAGAAAGGTCATGTTATTAGGAAACTATTCTTAAACAAATTTCTATAACCTAATCTATTTGGGGGAATAATTGTGGAAGTATTTATTTTTTGACACTGTGTCACACTTGTATTCCATGTCACAATCAGAAGTATTGTGGCCCTTCCTGGTTATTTACAATGAGTACATTCTTTTCTTATAAAAGAATGTCACTAGTGCTAACAGGAGCTCTTCCAAAGTCTATGAATTCCATGGGAAGGGAAATAATAATCCCTTTGTGAAACACTAGACAACAAAATGGCTGTTGTCTCAGAGCAGAAATAGAAATCATGAAGCATTAGCTGAAAAAATAACAACGGTAGTAGAGCTACCAGGAGTTGCTGCAACACTGGACACTGAAGAGGAAAAGAAGTAAGACTAGTCTCGTTTGTTTTAAAGCAGTGTACCAGTGGTATATTGGCAATAACAACCCCTCATGCACCCTAACTCTTACCTGGATTCCTTTCCCTCAAAATACTCTGGAAATATTAAAAGTTACTTTCTTGCCTCTAGGTGGTGGGAAGTTCTGAAAGTCAGCCAGAAATTCAGACTCTTTGGAACAGACAAACAGTTGTAACAGGAATCTGGATGCTGATGGTGCAGTCAGGGCCTCTTTTTCTATTTTTATTCTGATGGAAGGAGCTAGAGGAGGCAGCCAGTCTCTCCTCTACTTTCAGTCCTCCTTCACTCTCCATATTTCCTGTTCCCTCTCTGTTTACCATACTGGAACAATGTATCATGGCCTCTTTCTTTTAGTTTTCCTCCCTTACTTGCAGTACTTAAACTTTCTTCCTACTTGTGAAGTGCAGTGGAAACAGACCCAGCATTTGTCCTGCGTGTCGTATTCTTGTGTGATTTTACCTTTCTCTTCTTTATGCCCCTTCTTTCTGCCTGTCCTAATCCCCCTGTTTTTACTTCAGCATACTCCTGTATGGCAGGGATGTGTACTTTCCTGTACAGAAATCTGTTTAGTTCCTTAGCGGGTATCGGTCTGTGAAGAAAACGTTCCTTCTTTCATGCGATGAGATGGAAACCCAAGATAGGTACTCAGTGCAGTTTGCTTCTTGTGGGGTGAGGGAGTTTATTGATTAAATCAACTGATTTGAGTTGCTAAATGTTGAGATCTTGCTTTGGTTTGGTTTTAGGTGTGCAGCAGATGATATCCGGAGTAGTGCAGAAAACCGTTTCACCGTATCTCTGTATGCGTATCTGATCCTTTTCATAGCCAGTATAAGTGGATGCTAAAGCCTACTTTTCGTTCTTTGGCACTTGCATCCTGCTCGCTTATGCCCTCACATTCAGTACAGACATCCTGTGGTCAAAGAACTGAACAAGTCTTGTCTCTCTGACAATGAAAATTGCCAGGAATAGTTAGGTGGCGCTTACACTTCCAGTATTAGAGCTGATGCTTCCACCCGATTAACTCTTTCTCATGAAATACTGAAGTTAATGTTTCCCCCTCAGTTCTTTTGGCTATATCTATAATGTGTTACTTGCAGGACAGGCTTTCCTGTGTGTTTAAACAGCAGGACATTTTAACCTGTGCACAGCTCCCATACTACCTGCATTTTTCCTCTACCATCTTTTACACAAAATCATGTGTATGTCCACAATAGCAACGCCCATTATAGCAAACGTCTGCTGGAGTCTAATCCCAGTAGTCCTAATCTTGTCTACCAGTGTCTTTCAAAAGCAAGTTTTGACATCAGGTCTTGATTTGTGCAGCTGGCAGAGGCGGAGTTAGTCCCTAGGTCTAAATACTTCACAAAATAGTTTTGGAATTGTCTAACAGAAAGAGTTTTTCTTCCTCTCATCTAAATTCAAGAATTGGCAGTTTCTGTTCAAGGCAGTCTTGAAGGTCATAACTCTCACTTATTTGGTTACAGAAGTTTAGCTGCATACTTCAGTGATGGTTCTGCATCCCAAGGTGCTAAATATTAAAAACTTAGATTTGAGGGAATTAGTCACTGTGGTGTCAATGAAATAAATCTTAAGGGTAACTTCAGGACAGGAGGCATGATAACAGTCTCAGGATGTTTGAGAAACTGGGGCTTTGGAATTGAGACTGGGGCTCTCATGTGTATTGGTGTGTGAATCCCAAGCAGGAGAGACATGGATTTCCAGCCTGTATTGTTCAGACTCTGCATAATCAGTAAATGATTTACATGTTTGTAAACTAAGGTCTCAACTTGAACACTTAACATTTCATCAAATCTGCTTAAAAATGGAATTGCCTAATTTTTCTGATTATTTAATGCCTTGTTTTGTGTTTGTTGCTGTTGTTTGCAGACGTGGGTTGGCAATAAACGGAGGAAGATGAGCAGCAAGAGTGCTGTAGAATCTGGAGGCACTCCCCCGGGGACTGCCCCGACTACTCCCTCAGTACCTCCAGAAGGAGCAGTTAGGAATGTGGTAAATATTGCTCGATCCCAAAGTCAGCAGTCTTCTTGGACCTCTTCTAATAATGATGTAATAGTTACTGGTATATATAGTCCTGCTGGTTCATCTGGTAGGCAAGGATCCACCAAACATACAAACGCTTCAGTGGCAGAAATACACAAAACCTCGATTCCGCGACTACCAGGAAAAAGCAATACAGAGTTTCATCAGCAGCACATCCCTATAGGACGACAAGTACCACATTGTAAAAACGCTTCCCTATTAGTAGGGGAAAAGACTATTATTTTATCTAGGCAAACGAGCGTACTGAATTCTGCAAACTCCATATATAGTCACACTAAAAAAAGCTATGGTGGTTCCTCGGTGCAGACCGCAGAGCTGGTGTTACCTCAGAAGCCCATGATATGCCACAGACCCTGCAAAGGAGAACCAGTGGGATGTCAAAGGTTACAAAAACCCGAACATGCAGCTCTTGTATCGCACGTGCCCCCTGGACAAAGGGCTAATACCAGGGACCCTTCCTGTAGCACGCAAAACCTGGAAATCCGTGAAGTGTTTTCTCTGGCGGTTACGGATCAACCTCAAAGAATGGTGGGAGGAAGCGTAGCACAGAAGCATTGCTCGGGGGAAGGCAGCTGTCTGTCCATTGCAATGGAAACCGGAGACGTGGATGACGAGTACGCTAGAGAGGAAGAACTAGCATCCATGGGAGCACAAATACAAAGCTATTCCAGATACTGTGAAAGCAGCGGTTCTGCTCGAGGAGAGAACCACAGCGCAGCCCTGTCTGGGCCAGGAAGAAATGTGAGCTGTAGTTCGCAGATGGTGAATGCCAGGGACGTGCCTGACAATGTTCTGTATCATAACAGAGACTACCACTTGCCTGCACGGACCTCATTACATACAACCTCCAGCACATTATGTAACAGTGCTAATCCATCCAGAAGTACCTTTTCTCCTCATTTTACATCTTCAAGTCAACTGAGGCTGTCACAAAACCAAAATAATTACCAGGTAATCCATCAGTTTATCTCTGTCTTCAGACCTTGCAGACAAGGTTGTAGATAACTACTGTTTTCTTCAAAAGTTGGTAGCTAATAAGTGATAGGTTCACCTTTCTGCAGGCTGTGCTCCCTTTACATATTTCAGTAGAGATAATTCTTCTTAAATAAAAGTGTGGGTAGGACTATAGTGTGGTAGGACTTACCTGGGTAGCTGAGCGCATGGATGCAGTGGGTAGCTGTGTATTGAAGGGATTCATAGATTCATTAGACAAACCTCGGTTACCAGAGGATGGTACCTACAAGTCTGCGTTGTCCTGACGTGGCTTGCCAGCCTGTGTCACAGCGATATCTGTGCTTGTTCCTCTCTAGACATACTTCACATGTGGAGCAGGGCAGAATGTGGGATCACGCCGTCATTTGTGTGCTGTACGGTTGCTTTAATGTCAGCTGGGATTAGCTCTTCCATCAGCGCTGCCTGTACCCCCTGGGCAGCTGCCAATCTCTTGGACCTGTTTTCTGTTAGGGATTAGGATCTCCTGCCAGCTAGTTAAGATGATGGGAGACGCTAGGTGAGCAAATATTCTTCCTCTCCTGCAGCATCTAATTCAAATATTGGTTTTACATTCAATCCCATTATTTCCTCATCCTGTAGTAGAGTCCCTTCAGTGACACTGTGAGGGGAAAATTACATGCAGATAATTGAAGAACTAGAAGATGTTCAGCAGAAGCTACAACACTGACACACTTTAAAAAAAAATCATGCAGATAATTGAAGAACTAGAAGATGTAAAGCAGAAGCTACAACACTGACACACTTTTAAAAAAAAGTTTTTTGTTATAACTAGAGAAGAAATAACTGTGCAGGAAACATCGAAATTGATTTTTTTTTCATGGATTTTTATGCCATCTGACATGACATAGCCTAGAGGTATTGAGATAAAAATCTTAAGACTGACAGGATGTGATACCACATGTGTTTATTACCTCTGTGCTTTTGCCTGTTATTACATTTTTAATTTATCCTGAAGTGAACCATGTAAACAACATACCATCTTTTCTTGCACATTGCTCACTAGTATAGGGAACAATACTTGTAAAGTTTTTTTTTTTCTTTTTTCTGACTTGTCCTATCTTATGTGAGTATTTGAAAGAACGCTTTTGAGTCCAAGTAAGTGCCACTTTTCACCAGAATTATTGCTTTTCTTGCTAAACCTGAGGTTTGAGGAGCATGTGTATTCTGGAGTAGATTATGTGGAGTAGATGGGACATCTGCAGTTCTTATTTATGGCCTTTGCTAAGCTGAGCACTCCAGACAAGCTCTTATTTCCCTTTCTCCCTTCTCTCTGATAGTCTGTTAGTATTTGCTACTACTGTTCTTGAGTTATAGAATTCATTAAATGCTGTTTACTTTTGACATCCCAGTTTCATAGGAGAAGAAGAGCTGTAAATGTGCACATCTGTTCAATAAAGGGCTGGGAAAGCTGCAGAAGTGCTTACAATAGAGTTACGGAGATTTTTCTGAAGTTTCATAAAGTGAAATATATTATTGATACCTCCAGCTACGTGCTATTTGTACTTTATTTCATTCTTGAAAAAGCATCAGTGAGATGTATCTTGTCTGACTTTTTTTTTTCTTAATGAAATTTGAAATACCTTTGATTTGGAATTTTTTTGGGTGTAGGGACAGGGTCATTCTAAACATCTGGAAGGTTCATGGTAGGTGACATTTTATCTGCCCATGTGATATGGATCAGAACAAGGAGATCTCTGTAATTCAATTTGGTTTGTTTTCCTTTTTTTTCCTCCGTTATAGTAATATACCTATTTTTTTGGCAAGTGAGGAATTATCTGTACCCCGTTTGACATCCATGCCTGTCTCTCAGAGGCTGCGTTCTGTGGATTTGGGAATGCACCTTGGATTGATGAAGCTTCTGTTTCCCATGTATCCCTTCTGCAGTTTTAAACCTTGGATAAAACTGGGCAGGTTGCTACGAATTCACTTCTTTCTGTAAGCATCCATGCTGTGAACCTCTGAGATGACACTCTTCAGTATTAGAGAATTGATTGGGGGGGCAAAAGCTGTGGCGTCAGGGAGTGTAGTGTTGTGGTTCTGTGGCAGCTGCAGAGTAGTGTCCTACAGCCTGGCCAGATGCTGTAGTACCTTGAAGAAATGATGGTACTGATTTCTCCAGATCACTGCTTTCCTTGCTGAGGGTTTTTAGCACGTTCCAGAACAATGCAAAAACAAGTTCTGTATCTTAAGAGGTGTTAGTGACACTTCCAACACTCATTTATCACGTTGACAAGAAAATTTCACCTACTGCCTCCAAAGTTCTGTGTAACAATAGTATACCCTGCTAGGCTGATAATGTATTTTATCAAAATCATCAGTTCTTCACTGTTTTAACCTCCTCCTCCAGGTCCTCCCCTTAAAATTAAGCCCAGTGTGAGTGCTTTTTCATGTAGACACCCCCCTTACAGCTTAGTAATTTTTGTATATTAAACTTCCAGAGACATAGATGTTACATGTGCTGTCTGAATTCTTTTAGGCTTACGCAGGATGACATTTCTTCTATATGTAGTCAGTTTCTGTTCATTTTATTGGCTGTGTTCAGCTGATTTATCCATTGATGTTGCAATGAAAAGCTTTAAACTTGGGGAAATCTTCCTAAATTTAAAAACGGGTTAAACCTGAGCTACATGATTATTGGAGCAGTTAAACATCCCAGCAGATGCTTCTTCAAAGTCAGGACTGTCTGATTTGTGTTTTGATGAAGTAATTACTGTTGTACATTGGTGGGGTATCTAATTAGCAATTAGTTATAGTTTCCTTACTGGTTCAATTAATCAAATTCATGTTAGTGTAACTTAAGAGTAAATTTAATAAAGTGAACAATTTTAATGCCTGAGCAGTTTCAGTAAACAAATTGTTCAACCTACTTTTCTTAGTTTGGCTTTAAGCATTTTAAAAGAGAGAGGCTGTTCTTGCTGGGAGAATCCTGAGCCTTGCAGCCAGCACCGCAGAATAGGATGTAGGTATAATACATATTTATTTATTTTTAAGATTCACTTTAAGGATGCTGCTTTTATGAATGAAGATAAAGTGAATCTTAAAAATAGCTTTTTGCCAGGGCAAACAACATGGTCTTCTCTGAAGAAACTTGAACAAAGTCTTTCCTGACACTCATTCTTGTGACAGAAGCAGAGTTAAGTTTGTCGCAGGAGTTGCCTATGCTTTATTTCTGGGATGAAATAATTCCAGCTGCATGGGCTGGGAGAGCCTGGGGGCTGTGGGGAGGACAGTGGCCGTGACCCAGCTGGAAAAATACTTCATGTGGTCTTGATTAACGCTGGGACAGGACTGGGCTAGGGCTTTTGGTTGTTCAGTGCACTGAATTTCGGACAGTTATCTACAGGTGAATTGGGAAAACGTTACGTAGGGACCTCATACCGTGTATCCATTTTAATTGAGATACAGCATGGGTAACAGCCAAGAGTTGCAGTGCCTTTGAGCTGTCTCTAGCATCTGCCTGAGTTGCCTTTTCTGAGACGCGGTATCTTTTCTGAGACAAGCATTTCAGGTGGTCATTTTGGCCACTCACGGTAGCTGTTCCACTTGGACTAGGGCTGGCGTTAGACCTGTGGATGCAGGATAACTCTCCATCTCACTCAAACAATAAACCCCCCTCAGAAAACCCCACAGCCTTGTGCCTTTTTCATAGAGCCTGTTTAGAATGTTCCCATGCATGTTGTCTTTCAGGTAGTGATATCGAGATAAACGTGATTGTATTTGGCATCATACCTGTCAGAGCTTGTGTGCATTTGTCTTCCAAGTAGCCATTAATGTTCTGCCGGACTTATCGCTTTATTCACATAGAAAAGCACTTTTTTTCTGTAGCCTCACGTTAAATTTGTGACGAGAAGTCATCGGGGTGGATACTGGGGATGCATTTACAGCGTGTGGTGTGAAGCTGTTGAGTGGGATATAGAATTGTAATAGCTGTGACTTGTGCATGCAGAATTTCTAAAATGTGTATGTGCAACTAAGAAGTGCATGTTTTAGATGAAAAAGCTGATGTAGACCTGCCCTTAGGAGGGGAGGGTGTTAATTTGTAGCCCCCCTCAACCTGCCTTGTGCTGTAATGAGAAAGTGTCTGACCTTAGGTAACCTCCAAGCGCTTCCAGATAAAAGTTTGAAGAATAAAAGTGTCTTATGTGCTTGTACATGAGACAAACTGTACCAGGTATTCTATATTTGGTTATGCTCGTGCTGCAAGATTCATTAGTGGAGCACTTTGCAAATACAAAAACTATTAGTGTAGTTTGATACAGTCAGCAGAAGCGCGGAGATTTTTCTTCCTCACATAGTGTGTGTAATGACTTGAGATTGATTAATCTCTTAAGAGCTATGTTTAGTCTCTCAAGCATTGCTTGTCTGCAGCAGCAGATGAACATGGAATCCTAAATAAGCCTGAAATATTCCAGGCTATGACATATTTCAGATGCCAGGGAAAACAGTCCAAGATTATTATTTAATAAAATCTGACCTCTGGGAATGATGGAGAAGCGATGGGAATCAAGGCAGCTAACCTTTGCCTTCATACCCCTTCCTTCTCCAACCTGATGTCCCTGCTTTTTCTGCTAATATTTGCAGAATATCTGCTAATTTCCACAAATCCTTAACATCTGACACTGAATAGCATAGTTCCACAATGGCATTTTTTTTTTCTGAAGGTTTAACTGGTGTAATTGAAGAATATGTGACGGCAGGTCTGGCAGACATTGGCCCGAGTCCATCTCTGGTCTGCTTAATCTTACCAGTTCTGTGACACATCATAGAAAATGAAAACTTGTGTTCTGAAATACAAGTTTTGAGATAGCAGAAACACCCAAATTGCCCAAAGAAAGTGTTTTGGTTTTAGTCTTAGAACAGTAAGGCTAAGTGTGGCTTTGTTTTGTGTTTAAATCTTAACTTGTTTTAAAGACGTTCTTACCAGAATTGAATGCACAATACTAAAGTCTTGTGAAAGCTGCTCAGCATTAGCTATCATAGCAACCTAAGCTGCTGTTGTTTTCTGTTCTGTTTCCTCCTTCCCCTCTACAGATTTCAGGAAACCTTACTGTGCCTTGGATTACAGGTTGTTCCAGAAAAAGAGCAGTAAGTATATTTCCATTTAAGTATCTAATGCAGCAAGTGAAGGAATTAAAAGTTTATTAAAATGCATGTTTCATTTATTGTAAAGTCAATGAATTTCTTTAAAAGCAGGTCAAGGTCATAATCCTGTGTCAAGTAAAGTGATGCCCAGGTATATGAGTTGTGCCCTTAGCTGAAATATAACATTTGAATTGATAAGGACTGAGAGAGCTCAGAATTCATTTTTTATATTGAAAGTGAAATGGTTGTTAATTGAGGCAACTGAATGCCTAAGAGAGCAACTCCCTCTTCAGCTACTCAGAATTAGTCCATACTATCTGTAGTAACTTTATCAAGTCTAATTTTATCCACATGCATGTCATTTCACATTAGGCGGAATCAGCCAGGTTGGTGTCCTCAATTCACAAATGACCCCAAACCGTAACACAAGGTATGAAACAGCTTTTGTCAGGAAAATGCCTCCGTCCAGCTCATTTGTTTGATTACTGCTCAGCATTTCTGTTCAAGAGTAGCCTGCTAGCTTCTCTTTGAAGAGCATGTTGATTCTGCTTGCTTACCATGAAAATACACCCTAAACCTGCAGGTTGGTGCTGCAGCAAAGCTTTCAGGAGGCTGTTACACATTAGTCCAGTTGTATCAGAAGCAATAACTAGGGAGATGGCTCTCACAATAACCAGACTTATCCCATCAGACCCCTGAGACCACTGAGCTGTCAGTGCCATGTGTGCTGCTTTGGCAATGGTGTGTAGGTAATGGAGAAACCTTTCCTTGCCTTCACCTCCCTGCTGTACCTAGTACATTTTTCTTCTTTTATTATTTTAGGTTCTTCTGTTTAGTCTTCAGAGGTGTGAGCTTGATAGCATTTTCTGTATAAGTAGGAATCTAAGGACCATCACATTAACAGTGTTTTCTCTCAGACTTCTAAGTCTCATGACTTCTAGTTTCTGCAGCCTTTGGTAGTATCACTTATTTCTGTTTATACAGAGAGCACTTTACAAGAGCATCTCCCAGAGGAACCAGTACTTTTATACAAATCCTGCTGCTGTGAATTCCATCTTTTTTTTTTTTTTCCTAAGTCCTACTTCTCTTGAGTAGGCTTTTTTAAATGTAACCCTTTTCCGAAAGGCACCTTCCCTCTATCACTTAATGACCTTTTAAGACACCAAGCAGCCGGTGAGTGTCCTGGAGTACAGTTTCACTGTTTGGCTGAGCTGGTTCCACAGCACATCACTGTTGAAAGGAGGAGGATTTTCTCCCCTCTCCCTCCTGGGGCACTGCCACCCCATCCCTGGCACTGCTGCTAGGATCTAATTGCAAGGTAAGCCAGGTCAAGCGTCTGCTCCATCAAGATACATATTCTTCTGATGAGTTTGTCTTTACTGAGTTGAATGTACTTACTGGGGATCAGATGAGTGCCAGAGGCGGTGCAAAGCAGGCAGAAGGAGCATGGGGCTGGGAGCGATGAAGAGAATGGGGCACGATGCAGTCCCCTGCGTCCCACTGCTGGATGCTGAGGCACAGTGGTCATGTTAGGTGTCTGACACAAGCTGTAGAAGAAATTTCTGCAAAAAGTTTAAAACGTCCAAGGATGTGGAAGTGCCTTTTTATTCAGGATGGTTATTAGGAATTTTTTTCCTTAGGCCATTACTCCTGTGTCCTTTTTAAGCAATAAAATGTATAAAGCCTGGGGTTAATGCAGTCTGGGTTAACCACATCTGTTTGCAGATTTGTGGATGTACTTTCTCCAATTTGAATGCATAGTTAGCCTTCTTAAGGAGACAAGTTGAGGAGCTGGCACTCTAAAACTGCTGTATGTACACAGGTGTAAGACAAGAAAAAGAGAGAAAAAGCTCCTGCTTCCTGGAAAACTTCAGTTTGAAATGTGAAATTCTTTTGAAGAAAGAGCGTGAGGGAACAGAAATAGAATGGATAGAGTTGTAGAACTGCGATTACGGCAATTACTGCCATTCAAACAGTAAAAGGGCTAATCTGTATTTTGTTTAAAATGGAGAAAATTGTCTTTCAGATGCTCTGAATATTTAATCTTTTGCCTTGATGTTTTGTTTTCCTTGCCCTGTCCTTCAACTGCATCAAGAGAGGAATGAAAGCTGTGCAGTTCTGCAGAAACTTTCTAGTCTGCTCAGCTCTGCTGTAAGATGACGTAATCCTGACTGTTAATGAATATTAGTCTAGAAATATCACCCTCTCAGTTATTTATGAGAATGGCTTTGGAAATTGCGGAGTTCTGTGTTCTGTCAGGGTGCATGTGTGAGGCGTTGGCCTTTACGAATGCATTGATTTTTGGTTTTTCACGGTGTGGTGGAAGGATGACAGGGATTCAAAAACAGCGGTGAAGATACTGGTTAAAGAGAATTAAAAGAGGGAAAATATCTTCACTTTTGTCCTTGCATTGAAGTCTGGAGTGTGCTAATTGTGCTGAAGTCATGTGTCATCTCATGTCTTAGCAGAATGGTTGGTGTGAATTTCCTGTGCTAATTTTTTATTTGAAATTGTGCTTTCAACATTGCCTATTGCAATAAAATTCTGGAGATGGTGGTATTGAAGTGTTCTTCTCAGAGTCCTGCCCGCCACAGAGCAAGTAAGTAGACAGGCTTCGAGTTGGGTGGAGGAGCTGATCCAACCCCAGATCAGTGTGAGACCTGACACCAGCTGTGCTGGCATGGCTAGGCATTAATAGATTAGGTAAGAATCATGATAATTACTGTCTAAAAATCAGTTCACTGTTTCACAAACTAGTTCAAAATCTCAAGAAGAAGGCCAAGCTTTCAGTTTGTGTGGATTAGAGGTCAACTTTGGAAATGATGGAGTGATACGGCTGGAATTTAAAGTATAATTTTTTGGGTAGACAATTATATTGCACTGATTTTTATTTTTTTTCCCCTCTCATTTCTTCTTCTTCTTAGCTGTGTTTGGTTTAGAAACATTAGCAGAATATACGGAATTTTGGCTGAGCGTTGAAGCAGTTAGAGCTCTTTTCAAGCTGTGGTACTATGAAATATTTATCAGTCCTGCTCCCATCAGAGCAAACTTCAACGTTACCCAACCAGTGGGAAAAGACGAAAAAAGCCTCTCTTCCAGAAATCTAACAGTCTGTGCACTAATAGTGTGCTAGCAGTGACAGGTTAAGGGTGCCTTCAGATGCCGTTTGGCTTGCAGTCCATTTCCAAAGCCCTTTTTCCCTGAAGGCTGTGCAGCTCACTGCTCTATCTTCTGCTCTAGGAATGAAGCTGGCAGCAGCAACTCCCTTCCAGCCATTTGCTTTGCTGGGAGCCTTCAGGGACATTTCTTTGTCCTAAGAAGACTGGAAGTATCTTGTGGTGGGTACTTCTCTGCTCGTGCGCTGAGAAGGGAACTCTCAAGACTTGGCGAAAGGCAGTGTCAAGGAGCCAGCTCTCTGAATTGCTCTGGTAGTTATGGCCACCAGCTGACTTTCATTTTTTTTTCCCTGGGGAGATCATGTGTGGCCTGGGAGTCTTCAGGGCTTTACTGGGTGGAAATTCATGCAGTGTGCCTGTCTGCAGAAAGTACGGTTCTTTCAAAGATGCTTCTGATCACACTGTTCCCGAAAGGGCAGTATGCACTGTGTGTGAGCATCAGTGTCGAGCCAAAGCAGCAGGATTGGGTCTGTAGCAGGAAGCTGGGTGTTGCTGAAATGGGGGACAGCTTTGTGACAGTTGTGAAACCTGAACTGAAAGCCTACAACTGAAGGAAAGTGTAATCTGGCATAGCTTCAATGGGGTTAAATACGCTGGTAGTGTAAGGGAAAATACAGACCTCCAGAATTTGTGCATGGGAAATGAAATAATAAACTGAAGAGTAAGAATAATATTAAATGGTGCAGAGGGGAAAGGGGGAACATGTAGAATGATTAATTCAGAAATAACTGTTAGAATGTACAAAATAAGATCTTGAGATATGAATTGATCATCATCCAAGAAAATCAGTTAGGCATTAAGTAGTGTCAAAGTTCAGAATGCTGTTATCATTAGGAATGGAGAACAAGCAAAATAACTATGGAGGATGTGTTCATACCTGTAATGCTGTGTGCACTTCTGGTCTTCCCATTCCTCCCCAAATATAACAGAGAAGCAGTGACAGTGACCAAAGGTACAGAACAGCCTTGTAGGGACCAACCAAATGGGCCACATCTCTTCAGAGTGGAAAAGAAGGAAGGAGTGGAAGCATGTGATGGAGAGGTTTAAAAATACGGAAAGTGTGGAGAAACAGATACAGGCTCATTTGTTCCAGTAGAAGAGCAGGTATCAAATCAGGCTAGCCTTAGATAGGCTCAAAAGGAGGTTGGACTTGTTGTTTACAGTAACTTAGAGTAAGAAGTGCCTCCAATTTATAAGATACCGGGATTGCTAGAGAGTGTTGGAGGGAAGTGTCATTGTTTTTCCTATTTTACTTTTTACTAAACTTTAAAGAACCTTTGAAACATACAAAAATGTATTACTCTGAGATTTCTTCCTATTTCTCCATGATGGAGTTTCTGAGCAGTAGTGACTGAAATCTGTTGTGAGAGGTTTGTTTGCTAGGAATAATGGTTACCTTAGTACATTTCATCACAGAGCATCAGAACTGAACTGTCGATTTAACATGATTTCACTGCAACTTAAGTAAACATAACTTTTTGTTGACAATATACAGTGTTCAGCTCCAGTATAAATGCAATAGTTAGAACATTTATATTAAAGCTCTAGTTCTTTCATATTTTTAACATGCCTTTTATTAATAATCTGAAGATTTGTGTGTAGCTTTTGTGCACATGGCCTGAAACATTCTCAACTGATGCATAAAAACGGCTTGAGAAAAGACGGCTCTAATAAAAGGCAGGATGAGGACACTCCACTGCAATGCAATTATTCCTCCCAATTATAGCCGCCAGATTTGCACCACAAATATTGCATGCACAGTGGGTAATGCGAGGGGCTCGGCAAGGTGCCAGCAATGTCTGTAATAAACTGGGTCATCTCCTACAAGAATTTTGTTATTACACTTGAGAGGTCGGGGGATAAGCAGGGTTTAACCCTGCGCTCGGCAGAACTGCTGATTCAATTTGCTCGCGAGGATTACTTCTCATTGTCAGTTGATAGGCTATTTTCTGCCGGAAGAAGCATCTCTCTGCTTTTCAAACTGTGGACAACAGAACTGGTAAATGTAAAGAATTCAGCAAACAGTTAATTCTGCCGAGGAGGAAGCTGAGCCTCGAATCAGCAACCAGTGGATCTGAAGAGAGGAAATGAGAATTGCATTCATAATAGTTGTTACAATGAAGTAAAAATATGAACTGAATTACTGGCTTGTTGTCAGCTATGGAAAATATTCTGCTAAATATGAAGCTTTTCAGTATTATCTTCTGATTTTTTTTTTCTATGCTAACTGATGCATAGCCATCAGTATCACAGTGCTTGTAGGACTGCGGGGTTTCTCTTTTGTCTCCTCAGTTCCTCTGATACTAACCATTAGGAAGTTGTTAACTAAATTGATGGAAGTGTAATTGTATGTTCAATGTCTGTGGTGGCCTGCTACCCTTTGTTCACAACTTCTTGGTGAATCTGAGCCCTTAAATGTCAAGAATCTTTCTTTTTGGGCACTGGTAAAATTTCAAGTCCAGTAACCTGATAGATCCTTTTGTTGCTGCAAAGACCGACCAGCCGTCTTACAGTCATCACTTCTGCTGCCACAATGTACCTCTCTGAAAATTAGCTTTCCAGAGGCTCAGTTCCTTCCTGCTTGGCTGTGTTCAGTGCTGATCTTGGTGGAAAAAGTAGCAGAAATGAGATACGGACTTCAAAGTAGGAAAGCTCAAGTAGGATGAGAAGTACTGAGTGGAGAATACTCAGTGGAGTTTGCTCAGGTGGAGTGAGCCAGGCATCTCTGTAAGGCAGCTATCCTCAACCCCAAGGGGACCTGACCCTTCATACCATCTTCTATTTACACCCATTTGGTTTTGTTCCTGCTTTCTGGACTCTTTCGTGCCGTGTGTGTCATGTGGTTTTTGTTTTTTCTTTCCTATCAGATACTGCTGCAGCAATTCAGGAGATAACTCTACTTTTGGTCCTTGAAAATGGCTTGTAGGCAGGAGCAGCTCGGGTCAGGTGTACAGGGAAAACCAGCATCGGCAAGAGGTGAACAGGCATCCGGGGTTTGGCTTTGTTTTTGCTCTTGAGCTGAACTCCACTTAGTGCACTTTGCTGCTCATCCTAGAGCAGCCTTGAAATGTACCAGCTGGATTCTTTTTGGATGAAAACAGACTGGAGCATGCCGTCTGGGAGCGCATCTCATGTGCTGTGGGAGATGGCAGCTAATGGATGGGCAGGATGGAAACAGCTTCTCTAATTCTGTACCTAAACATAGGACACAATAGCCAAGAAAAAAATCTGAGTGCCTGCTAGCAGTTAGTAATGGACTGTTTTTTCATAAGTGGTACTTTTTTTTTTACTGAACCACCTGGCATTGTTGTAAGGAGACAAGATTTTGGTACTCCTCTTTTATATTCATGTATTGAGGAGTCTCAAGTGCTTCTAATGTTTTGGGTAAGAGTAATTTTTAAAAGAAGAAAATCGCTAAGATTACCGTATTCTGAAGATTAGCAAAGATTAAAATTTAGAATTATTTAAGATTGTCAAATGATTCTAGTTCTGCAAAATTGCTTTTTATTCCATTTTAAAGTTATTTGGTTCTAACAGTTTTTAAATGGACTCACACAGATTTTGGGTACTGAAATAATGATTACGTCATACAAAATTCAACTGTTGAAATATTGACAAATTTGACACGTGGTCACTACAGTAGTACAGAATTTATTGTTGCATTTATTGCACTTAATAACAGGAGAGCTGGCAAACATGGGTTGGTATAAAGAAGCTGTAGATTTTAGTTGAAATTCTGGACTAAAAACTTTTTATAAAGCTTTTAAGTTCTTCTAGCGAATGGTACTGTATGCTCACAGGAGTTCCAGAAGTGGCAGGATGTCTAGGATTTGTTTCTCAGTGTTACTCCTTATATCAGTAATCCACCATCACAGATTTTGGTAAATACACACAAAGAGTTAGGAAACTCCCAAATAAGCAGTGGAACCAATTTAAACTCTGAAGCTTACCAAATAAAGTATTCCCTTTAGGAATTCTGAATCCTTTGAATTATGCATGTATTGTAGTTTGCAGTAAGATAAAAGAACTTTAAGTGGGGGAGGGTGAGAAACTTGAAAAGCCCTAAGGAATAATTTGCATAAATTGGGTGGAGAGAGTAAACAGTATGAGGGGGAAAAAGTTATTTTCAGTAAGGCCTTACAGAATGAGATAAAACAAATTTAAAAAATCAGGTGGAGTTGAAACAAAGCTGAAGTGCTTTAAACTTGCGTTAGCTCTGCCATTGCCTTTAAAGCAAATCCCAGGGAACTCTGTACTGCCCTGGATAAAAAAACAAGCTTAAAAAAAAATTCTTAAGGGAGAGTTAAAAGAGAAGAAAAGCTATGGAGACAGTATAATGTGTGTCTTACTGTACACAAGACCTCTGGAAATTAAATGAACAGCATAAGCAGAATTTGTAAAAATCTAACAGTATTTTTTTCTCTTACAGTTACAGGACCGCACACAATTTAGTGACCGAGACTTAGCTACCCTAAAGAAATACTGGGACAACGGCATGACCAGCCTGGGCTCAGTCTGCAGAGAGAAAATTGAAGCTGTGGCTGCAGAATTAAATGTTGACTGTGAAATAGTGCGGGTAAGAAATCTAGAGTCTTCCCCTATCTTGTCTCAGAAGCAAAAATAGGACAGATGAAAGCCTTTAAAAATTTCATGAGGAAGCTTGAAATAGATTTCACGTATTACATAATGAATGACCATGTTGGGAAGTGCTCTCTGGCTCTTTCTGCAGTCTATATATAGAAGAAGGCCCTTAGGTAAGAGTCTTATTGATCAGCAGCAGGAGCAGCACTACGAGCTGTTTGACTTTTTCTTTAGACTTGAGTAAGATTTTTTAAGTAAAAGTGTTACATTTTTTAGGGATATCCTAGAAGACTGAAAAGTGCCATTTATATTGTTGTTAAGATACTAAAAAACCTTTCTAAAGATACAGGGAAAATATTTGTCATTAATGCTTAGCAGAAAAAATTGTAAACACATGAAAGAAAATGCTCAAAAATAGGAGAAAATATTTTACAATGCTATCTTAAAGCCATGTTGAGATGTGATAGAGGGCAAAGAGTAGTGTGAAGAATTCTGGGTCACTTCAGTTTGGTAGTCCATATAGGTGTCGTTGAGGAAGGATTGCTTTCGAATGTACAGGTTTGGTGTAGATAATCTGATTGCCAAGAACCACTCCACATCATCTCTTCCAGAGGCTGGGAGGTTTGGTACAGCATCAGTATTCCCAATTATCAGGCACCCATCATCACTTTCAGACTCTGGGTGTCCCATTTGCTCAGAGCGTTTCCGTTCTTCAGAAAATAGTCTGACTGTCTTTGCAGTCAGTACATAAGCATCATTAGAGTCTTCCTTCCCCTCGTAACAGGCATGATGAATGTGACAGTCCTTTCAGCCTTCGTCCTTTTTTTTCCCTAAATTCTGACATTGCTACAAAAGCAGAACGAGGAGCCCTTATTCAAAACTCTTCTTTTGTGGAGATCTCTCTTGGATTGGTATAACAAAATGGTCCCAAAGCTACTTTCAGTATTGAACACTAATCGGGTTATTTCATGGCTTGTTTTCCTGAACACACATGAATTATAAAAAATTACATTGTACTCTGGTTCTGGTTCCTTTATATGTCAGACTTGAGGATTGTAGCGAGAATTAGGTGGAGGCTGGTCCTGCACCATGCTGCTGGTTTGTTGGGGCTGAATTAATGCCACAGGACGTGTGTGATCTCCAGTGCTTCCTCTTCTTCTTTCTCCAAGGCACGTTGTGCATGTCCCAGCTGTAGGACAGGTATTTTCCAGCATGTGCTCTACACAATCTGTCCTAAATTTGGTTTGGGATCTATATAGGCACAGTGTATCCTCCCCTATACTGCATGCTCAGCCAGGAAGAGCTGGACTGAAGGACGCTTGTGGAGAAAGCTCTCCACTTTCAGTACTCGTCCTTTGTAGCCTTTGTATTTCACTGCACCTTGAATTCTAGGCAGTGTCCAGCTAGCAACTGTTTCTCCATTTGTGATGTAAAAAAAAACCCCCAAACCATATGTAAAATAGTACTAAATACTTATATAATCCCGAGT